TTGGTAAAGCTTAGCCTAGCCAGCATTAAGTTCTGCAATCACTGTAAAATGACAGAAGGCAAGGTAAAACTTCTGGAAAATGAATCGTTATCGATGACTTCACAGGTTTTAGTATGTGATCAGTATTTGTCCCTACAGAGTCTAATTTGCTATACTTAATGATCAAGTCATTAATATGCTTATTTTCTCCATTCTTCTCTTCAGTTTTGTAATGAAGTATCAACCACATTTTTTTTTAATTGTCAGAGAGCACGTGCACTTACGTGCACTCACGGTAAAAATCTCACAATAGGGCATGGTTACACTGCAATCCTTTTCCCTCCACTTCTCTATCCTGTAAGAATTTTGGACACATCCACACCTACATGCCCAGTGTCTTTTTTTTTTTAGAGAGATTTTCACTGTAGGGCGCGTGCGCTCGCCAGACAGACAGAGAGAGACATAGAGACAGAAAGCGAGAAATCACCCCCCAGGGGGGGATGGTCACGCCGCAATCCCTTCTCCTCCATTCTCTTCTCGGGATCTTGGGCACGCACGCACACGCGCCCGGCGTGAGTTTTAAGCCACCGGGTCCAGGACACGAACTGCGGTCGACTACGTGGGAGTCCAGCGACATAGCCATTACGCTAACTGCTGGTTCCCCCCAGTGTCTTTTTTAAACACCTAGAGCCAGGATTCAAATCACTGTCAGTCACATGAGGTATGGCTTCCAATGCGTAGTACTTAATTACTGTGCTCAAGAGCAGCCCTCGACTGAGTTTTTAATAACATTTTATTTTAGAATAAGAAAATAATAATTTTAAACTAACATAAAAATTCGGAAGAGAGTATAGGGTTCTCATACATGCTACACCCAGATGTTCCTCATGTTAATATCTATGCTAGTATACATGTCAGATATAATGAACCCATATTGATATATTATTATGGTAACTGAAGTCCATACTTCATTCTTGTTTCTGCGGGTTTTTAACTAATAATTATTTTTAATGTTTTCTTTTAATCTAATATCCGTTTTTAATGTTTTAAAATCAGAGTTCCATGCAGGATGTCATTACCCTTAGTAGCAATATCTACTTCACTCCTGAAACTGTTAAGTGTCTCAAATTTTCTTTGTTTTGATGAAGGTGACATTTTTAAGGAGTACTGATCTGTTACTGTACAATCTTTTACTTGTGACTTGTTGATATTTTTCTGTTGTTAGACCAGGGCTTTGGGTTTTTCTGAGGAAGACCACGTAAGTATTGTGCCATTCTGACCACATCATGTAAGGCATGTAAGGTATATACTACCCGTGAGAACTCTGCTTAATGCAAAGTCACCGTTTTTTCCTGGGTTTTTTTTTGGAAATTATATATTTGCAGGTTTCATAACTAGTTATCGTCCATTTTTGTTAAGTTTTTATGTGGTGTAAGGTATAAATCAAAGTTTATTATTTACATAGAGATATCTAATTTTTCTAACACCGTTTGTTAACAACCTCTGTATTCTACCCTGGGGACTGTTCCTCTTTTGTCAAAAATCAATTTTCAGACAGACCTTGTAACCCAGCGGCTAAAGGAGCCAGAGCCCGCGTGGCCAACTAGCGTTCAAATCCTGGCTCCCGCAGCTTTAAAAACATACGAGGTACATGTGCGTGCATGTCCAGAATCCTGACACAATGGAGAGATGGAGGCCAAGGGCTCACCGTGTGACTACACCACATGTGAGGTGGGGGGGCTTTCTTCCTCTTTCTCTCTGGTGAACACACGTGCTCTCTCATAATTAAAAATAAATCAGTTTGGGGATAGCAGGTGGCATGGGGATTAAGGCGCTAGATTTCCACATGGCCAACTGCAGTACGCGTCCCAAACCTGGCAGCTTGCTTCCTTACTTTCCTCCTCTCTCTCTCCCCTCTCTCATCTCTCTCTGGTGAGTGAACATGATCTATAGTAGATTTAAAACTAATAGTGATAATAAATAAAATTAAGTAAATATTTTCTTAAAAGATAGTTTCTGGGCCAGCAAGTGGCATGGTAGTTAAGGGTGCTGGACTCCCACTTGACAAACTGGTTCAAATCCCGGACCTGGCAGCTTGCTTTCTCACTTTCTCTCTTGCTCTGTCCTTCTCTGGTCATAATAAAATAAATGTTAAAAAAAAGTCAGTTTCTATATGTTTGTGGGTTCATATATGGACTTGATATGATCCCATTGACCTGTAGCTTCTTAAGTCTCTAAATCAGGCAGAATTATAATTCTGATTTTGTTTTTCTTTTTCAAAGTTGTTTGGGCTACTCTAAGTATTAATAGTTTGTATTTTTTCATGAATTTTAAAATAATTTTTTCACTTTTTACATAAAACTTGATGGGAGTTTACTAAAAGTATGTTGAAGGCCTAGAAAAATTGAGGGAAACTGATATTTCACAGTAATGAATCTTGTAACTTATAAAAATAATATTTTGTTTCATTTATTTAGGTCTCCTTTATTTTATCTTAACTATGTTTTATGGTGTTCAATAGGCATATATTTTACCCTGTTGTACATGTGCCTGTATATGTGTGCGTGTGTATTTATCACTAAGTATTTTACATTTCTTTATGCTCTTTTTTTAAAATTTTAATTATTCATTCATTTATTTTAATTTGATGAGAGAGAGAGAGAAAGTGACAAAGCTAGCTAGCCACCAGGTCCAGGACTCAAACCTTGGTTGGCCATGTGGGAGTGTCCAGCACCCCAACCACCAAGCCACCTGCCGATCCCTCTTTATGTTCTTTCACACACATGTTCTCAGCATGAGTTTTAAGCCACTGGCTCCAGGACTCAAATCACAGTCGACTGCATGGGAATCCAGTGACATAACCATTATACCATCTGCTGGTCGCTGGCTTTTGCATATTAATACAGCAGCCTTGCTAATCTACTGAACAGTTTCAGCAGTTTTAATTAATTAATTAATTAATTTACTTATTTTGAAAAGTCCATCAGATTTTCCTACATAAATGACTGTATAAGAAGAGAAAATAGAAAAATAAGGCAATTTGTGTGTGTGTTTTCCCAATCTAGATGTCTTTTGTTTGTTTTCTTGCCTATTGCCTTGGTAAAACCTCCAATCTAGTTGAAGCAAGTAGTATAACCGAACATCCTTGTCTCTTTTCTGATCACAGACAGAAAGCATTCACTCTTTTACCAATATGTGAGATGTTAGTTTTAGGATTCATATAGATGCTCTTAATTGAGACAGACAAGTTCGTTTTTATTACTAGTTTTCTGATCATTTTTATGAGAAATGTGTGTTGTATTTAGTAAACTGCCTTTTCTGTCTCTAGTGAGTTAATTGTATAACTTTTTTGTTGATAGCAAAATGAATTACATTGATTGATTTTTTTCGAATATTAAATGAAACTTTCTCAATAAATCCTATTGGCTGTCATTCATTATTCTTTTCTATATGTTGTTTAATTGTTTTGCTAAAATTCTATTTAGATTTTTATACTTATGTTCATAGAGGATATTAGTCTAGAGGTTTTTTGTGATGTCTTGGTAAGGTTTTGGTATCAGGGTAATGCTGTTCTCATAAAATGATTTGGGATGTGTAAGAAGGGAAAAAAGCAATCAATCCCATCAAGATTTAAGAAGTAATTGCAAATATATTCATTAAGGAAGACATACATTCTAATTGTCTTTAGTAGAAGGTTAAAATTGCCTTTTTCCAAAGAAATATTTTTTGAGTTTATTTCTCACTAAAATACCTGTCTAGAAATTTCACTTATTTTTTTATTTTGAAAAAACCTATTATTCATCCAGTACTTATGCTTTGTTTTTATCAGCCAATTACATGCAAACTAGTAAATATAGCATCACACTACTATAAAACTAGAAAACACTAAAACACATCCAACTCTCCTAGGTATTTGTTATGTAGAGCCCCATTACTAGTGAATCCAGGGTGGACTTTATATTGAGTGTGACAAAAAAAAACTCCGAATTGAGCCAAGGAAAAACTGAAGCTAGTTTGTTTCCAGTAAATGTTTATTCAGTTTATTAAAGGTCAACTTCTAATCATACAGGAAAACCTCTGTATGTAAATCTTGAAAAGTATCATACAGTCTCGAAGAAAGATTATGCTAGGAGCCAGCCCTGACACAGTGATTAGGGGAGCCTTAGCCCATATGGTCAACTGTGTTTCAACTCCTGGCTCCAGCAGCTGAAAAACACGCTCTGTGTGTGTGTGTGTGTGTGTGTGTGTGTGTGAGCTGAAACCAGAAGTTAATCACTCTCATGGCTTTTTATGAGGTCTCTTTTCTTCCTTTTGACTTATAAATTGTATCCAATAAATTCATTCTCTTTACCCATTTATTTAAATATCTGTTCACTGGTACCTCAAACAGGATACAATAATCATTTGAGCTCATAAAAGATGACAGAAATTTAATCCAATTTTTTTTTTTTTTAGCTTACAAACATTGAGAAACCTAGGAACCCTGAGTCCTTAGTCTCATCACCTCAATGGCTGGTTTTGTCAGGGTTTTATCCCTTCTTTGGAACTGGACATCAGAGAGGAGCCGCATCCCCTGAACAAAGCAGATTACCCATCTTCTGTCCACTGATATCTTAGTATCAGACTTCTTTCATCTACTAATACATTATTTTTCCAAGCCATTGGTGCCATTTTGTAGTTAATAGTGGATATTTCAATTTATGATATCCTTGTAAATCCTCTACGGACCCTGTTAAAAATTTCTTTTTTATAACCCACCCCATAGTGATTTCATTTCGTAAATTTCAAGTGCAGCCCAAAAATATGAAGTTTCACAACCATCAATGGTGATTCCAATGTAGCACATCCTCAGAAAATGCATTGATAAAAGGGAGTTATACCATTTCTCACATGAATATGTTATAATTTTCTTATCGTTTTGGTGTAGTAGACACTAACAACTTAAAGAACTTCTGTAGAAAGCCACTTACACTCCGTTTTTGTTGTATTACTATAACTCTTAAGGCCTTGCCTCATTTCAGGACCTGGAGGGAGCAAGTCCCCACAAGTGTACAGATTGTATTTCGTATGAGAACACCTGAACATCTCTCAGCTGAACAAACACTTTGGGCCTGGTATGTATGTCCACTGTGAGGCAATATCATTTTCTGCACTTGTTCCTCTTTTTTAGACTTTTCTTTTACAAATATGTATTCTAAATTCTACCCATTTTTGAGATTTTTCTGACTACTATGACCTAAAAGAAATTCCCATGTGATTTCTAAGATGCTAGAAACCAGAAAAATTCTATCATATTTAAATTGACGTTGTAAAGATCAATCACCTTGATCCAAACATCTACAAACCTGGAGATGGGAAAGATTAAACAAATTAGTTCATGTAACCTATTTTATTAGAGGCGTCTCTGGGTTATCTTCTAATTGCTGATGCAATGCCCTCTTGAGCAAACCACCTTTACTAACAGTAGTTCATATTTAGTATTAAACAAGGTCTTTCATGTTTTTTGCTTTTTCCCCTTCCTGACTTATATCTTAAATCAGTTTGTAAGTGGCTTCAGACCACAATCAAAACTTCTTTTGTAGTCCCCTCAGAACTGACTGGCACTCGGCGATTACTCCCAAATGGTATATATTATACTGCATTATGTTTTCTTTTCACTCTTTCTTCCTAATACACACAATACACATTTACGAGCAGAAAAAAGAAAGTCAATTATTTAGAAATAAGAGAAAGAGCAAGAGTAAGAGAGAGAGCAAGAAAAAGCAATCAGACCAAGCTAAGCAGGTTGCCTTGGTAACACTACCTTAAAGACTGTTGCTCCTTAAAGAGCCTGACACTTCTCCGAAATTCAGAACACAGAGCACCATCTAGTGGTTTCAATTTAAATTCAAATAACTCACAGTTGCAGTCCAATTTCTAATAAAAATTACAATGAGCTGTTTATTGTTGTCATTCATGTGTTTGTTTCAGGTAGTGTAGGAGCCATTGCTCCAGTTCTGAAATACACATGTATAATTTCAGTAATAGACTAAGGAATTACTTGTGTGCATGTGTGAAATGCAGATTTGAAAGAGCTCTAAGAGGTTTTTCAGGGTTAAAAAAACTATTTGTAGCAAAACTAATCATATGGCATTTATTTTAAAGTCTTGAATATGTGGACTCTAAAAATTACGAGTATGCATAAAATATGTAAAATTTTAAGTATATGAAACAACACACAGAGCTCTATTTAGGAACTCATTTTGACCAGTTTTCACCACAGAAAGCCAGAGTGGAAGGAAGGACTGAAGAAAGAAAATAGAAAAAGAACTTTGTGGAAATCTGGGTGCACTTTCAAGGGAAACAAAAATTAAACAGTATAACTTTTTTTCTTAATTAATTCTTATTTTTTTTATGCCAGTAATACTCAGTCTACTCTGGTTACCAGCCATCTAATTAATGTAAAAATGAAACATTATACTCAAAACAAAAGAAAAATCATATTCCAAAGATGTACTCACAATAGCCAAGGCAATTCACTCAATATGTTGGATTTGAGCACAATGCCTTGTTTGTGAAGTTACATAAATTATGTATATCCCAACAGAATAAAATCTTTTTAAAGCATCTAGATAAAATTTTTCAAATTTTATATTTTGTGCTTTTACAGAAAACTTTCTTCCCCAAATCTGTGTCATTTGTACCCAGGGGCACAAACTAGAGAAACACTAACAAGAGCTGGGAGAAAACAGGTATGCAACGCTCATTTTCGTAAACATCAAGACTCAAATAAGTTGATACGTTTGGGCAATTTCCCTTATCGTTTCCTCTCTTTGAAACATGCATTTTACTTCTCATGTCCAGTATCACTCACTCCTACTTGTCCCACAAGACTTAGTATCACTTGTATTCTATAACCCAGACAGCTGGCCATGTGCGATCCAACCACCTTAACCTCCACATCATCTACTGGCTCCAGAAAGAAGTGGTTTCTTTTCATTAATTAATTTATTTGTTTATTATTTTTGATTTTTTCAAAGTGTGCATGCACTCATCTCTAGAGATAGACAGGGAGAGGCAGAAGGCAAAAGCACCTCCCAATGGAGCGTGGTCACATCACAATCCCTTCTCTTCTATTTCCTCCTCCTTTCTAGATTTTGGGCACACATGTGACAGACAGCATGTCTTTCAATACGGGACTCAAAGCATGTGGTCAGCCAGCCAGTGTCTTGCTATGTTGTGTTCCTCCTTCACAAGCCTCCCATGTTCCTGGAACCAAGGTATGTGTACCATCATGACCTGCTTTTAGGGAAGCTCAGGAATCAAACCTTGGCCTTTTATGGGGACTCAAGAGAAGCATCAATCAATGTGTGCTGATGCAGCTGGGTCATGTGTTACAGTTTTAAAAGCCAAATACAGAAATAGTGTAGAAGGGGTTGGTATTCAGATGTTCAGTTGCCACTTCTCTCCTCAGGCTAAATTTTGCTAAGGGTTGCCTGGCACCTAACTAGCTCCTGTGGTTTAGTTTCTTTCATCACAAGGCCCTACGGAACAGAGAAGAAAATTAAACGAAGGAGAACCCACAGGTCCAGTAAGTAGCCCCTCCTATATATCTTCAGCATGTGGGCCACCAAACATAAGAAAATGCTCGGAATAAGACATTTCAAATTATACTTTTAGAAATATGAACTGAAATCTGGAACTGCTACATGTTACTGAGATGTCTGGTCTCTCAATTTTATAATACGTGGACTTAGCTAAGTTACACTGCCACTGAAGCCCAGGACAACCAGGTTAACAACATTGTTTAGGTTTCTTTTTTCAGGGAGAGTTTCCTAAGCTATACTAAATATGTTTCTTTCTTGGCATAGCTTCTTTTATTGAAAACGATAGTGGCCAGTAGGTGGTGTAGTAGTTAAGACACTAGACTGGCCAGCTGGGGTTCAAGTTCCAGATCCAGTGGTTTGAAACTCACACTAGGCACATGTGTGTGAATGCCCAAATCCCAAAAGGGAAATGAAGGGAATGTGGCATGGCCATCCCCCGCTGGGGAGTGATTTATCACTTTCCCTCTCACCATCTCTCTGTCTCTCCAGTGAGTGTACGTCCCCTGTGACAAAAATCTTAGCAAAATAAATGAAAGGAGAAATGGATATTAGCGCTAACTGTCCTAATGTCTCAGAATGTTAACTTGTGGGTACTAAGCTTGTTTATCCTGATAGAGTTTCACCTTCTTTTAGAACAAGGTCTGTGTTTTATATGTTTTTTCATAAAAATATGATCACACCTATAAACTAAACTACTCATTTTTAAAAGAATTAACATTAAGGACTATGCTCAAGCCATTCATAGACTAATTAACAGGAATAGTGTATTGACTACAGTTGAATGACTATCTCCTGAAACCACTAACTCAGAATGGAATCAAAAAGTTGTTTGGTTTTTTTCAAAGTGCTATTTATAGGTCCCCCAGGTGGCATGGTGGTTAAAGTAACTGGATCCCACATGGCAGATACTGTTGTTTGAGTCCTAGACTGAGCAGCTTGAGAAGCAAATAGGTGTGTGTGTGTGCATGCCCCAAATTCTGAGGAGACTGAAGAGAAGGGGTGTGGTTCTCACTGTTACTCGCTCTGCCCCTCTCTGGTCAAGTTAAAAATAAATAAATAAATAAATAAAGTTAAATAAAATAATTCTTTTTTTTTTTTTTCTTGAGAGGTTGTCACAGGCTGCGTGCGCTCGCCAGACAGGCAGAGAGAGACAGAGAGACAGAAACCGAGAAATCACCCGCCAGGGGGGATGGCCACACTGCAATCCCTTCTCCTCCATTCTCCTCTTGGGATCTTGGGCACACACGCACACGCGCCCGGCCTGGGGTTTAAGCCACCGGGTCCGGGACACGAACCGCGTTCGACCACGTGGGAGTCCAGCGACATAGCCGTTACACTAACTGCTGGTCCCAATAAAATAATTCTTTATAAAAAAGACTTAATTGATTTATTGAACTTGGCTTTTCAGAGCATTAGGGTGATAAATGTTATTCTATGTAGCCATCAGATCATTTTTTAAATAATTAACCTAAAGAAAAATAATTCTCATTATTACTCAACCATTTGTAACAATCTTAACAATAATATATTTAGAGCATATTTACATTTGATGATAATGCTATAAAAAATAATGGTAATATTATGTGAACTCTTAATACTTACTAGGTTGTGCTAAGATCTATGTGATCATTGTAGTAATTCTATTAAAATCCCTGAGAATGTAAGTATATTTTGTATATAGAAGAAGAATTCATTTTTCCCACAATAAATAATTATCTGCTATGCACCAGAACTTTTAGAGGGCTAGAGATTTTGCAGTGATTAAGTTGTACTACTTTTTTCCATGGAGTTTGCGTTGTGTAGGGGAGGGCAGACAATAAGCAAAGACAAATCAAAAAGAAAAATAACAGAGACAAATATTATATAAAGAATCACACTATGCCATTAATGATTCACAACTGGTTGACCAAAGAGGAAGACCTCTTTGAAAAAGTAATATTTAAACAGAGTTATGAATGTCTGGATATTTTTTGTCTTCCACAAAAAAACAGAAGACATTTTGTTTCCATGTTTATATAACTTCGGGCAAGAGTTGCACATATTTATATTGTGTATACCTTTTCTTCTCCTTCTGTCTGCATCCTTCTGGACAAAAGAAGACCTGAAAAAATCAGGAGTAAGATCATTCCAGAAAGAAACAAGAGGAGGATGTGAGAAAGACTGAATATTGCACCTCTGAAGAGGAGACGAAAGGCCAATGTGGCTGAATCAGGTGAAGGGAAAAGGGAAGTAGGAGGACAAAGAAATAGGCAGAGACTACTCATTTAGGGCTTTAAACTCCAGCTGAAGTCTTAGATGAGGGGTATTCTGAAACATAAAATATATGATTTTTAAAAAATTAAGAGAGATTTTTGTTATCAAGCACATACACTCACTGAAGAGACAGAGAGACAGAAAGTGAGAAATCATCCCCTGGGGGATGGTCACAATCCTTTCTCCTCCATTCTCCTCTCAGGGTCTTGGACAGGCATGCACATGTGCCCAGTGTGAGTTTTAAGTTGCCAGGTCTGGAACTCAAACCATGTTTGACTATGTGAGAGGCCAGTGACATAACCATTATGCCATCTGCTGGTTCTTATGATTTTATATTTTCTAAAAATTATATTATGGAAAATAGACTGTATAGGAGCAAGGGTACATTTAAAGAGAATAGTTTTAAGGTCATTGCAATGGACCTAGAGAAGTGGTACAAAGTCGTGGACTACAGTAACAGAAATGGAGATGAAAGACAAAGTCATGTTCTAGGTTTTGAGTCAATAGACCATGGATGGATGGGATATGGAAGAAAAGGCAAAGACAGATTGGGGATAGTGCTGGAGAGTTGAGAAGTGAGTCTGAGCCACTGACTAAGTAGGTTTGCCTATTGACTTATGAAACCAAGAAAGGGTGTGTTTAGGGACTGGAAGTGTCTCTATACCTAGAACTCCAACTCTTCCCTTTTTTTTTCTTTTTTTTTTTTTTAAGAGACTTTTGCTATAGGGCACGTGCACTCGCCAAACAGAGAGAGAGAGACAGAGAGAGAGAAAGTGAGAAATCACCCCCCAGGAGGGTGGCCATGCTGCAATCCCTTCTCCTCCTTTCTCCTCTCGGGATCTTGGGCATGCACGCACACGCGCCCGGCGTGAGTTTAAGCCACCGGGTCCGGGACATGAACCGCGGTCAACTACATGGGAGTCCAGCGACATAGCCATTACGCTAACTACTGGTCCCTCCAACTCTTCCCTTCTAATATCAGGGTTCATACCACTAGAAGGAGAGCCAGGGAACAGAAGACATTTTGTTTCCATGTTTATATAACTTTGGATAAGATTTGCACATATTTATACTGTGTATATCTTTTCTTCTCCTTCTGTCTGCATTCAGTTAATTATTCGAATTATTAAAAGAACATAAAATATATTATGTGTATTCTGATCTCCTTTACAAGTCTTCAGTAATTTTACAAGAAAAATAAGACAAAAAGTTAGTCAATTCTCAAGGGTTGAATCAGGAAGCATATTCAAAAGCTTCTACAGCAGGAAAATTCTATAAAAAGTAGTATTTTTGTCAAAATAGGGCAAAACTAATGGGGATGTCCCAATACCATGTACTCAATAGCATTTGTTGAACTTAACATATGGTTACTTGTTTTAAAAGTGTTTAATCATCATCATCAAAACTAATACTTAATAAAAATGTAGTTATAAGGAACCATTTTGTAAAATGTGTAGGAGATCTCTTGAGTCTTCTGTAAGTGCTCAAGGTTGACAAAGGAAGAAGAGTGTTGGTGGGCTGACCACGCACCCTGCTATGTGATACATATTAAATATCCACCAGGTGTTCATATCGAAAAGGTTTCAGAGGCTGAAAGTCAAGTTTTGAAAAATACCCCTCCAAGCTAAGATAGCAGTTTTCTTTTTAATTTTTTAAAAAATAAACCTTTATTCTTTTTTTAAAGAATTGTTTAATTTTATTTATCTTATTTTTATTTTTTAAATTTGCTACAGGGCATACATGATTACCAAAGAGAGAGGGAAAGTGCAAAGCAAGCCACCAGGTCCAGGACTCGAACTGCAGTCTGCCATATGGGAGTCTAACTTCTTAACCACCATGCCACCTACTAGCCCCGGCAATTTTACTTTTTTAAATGTTTTTCCAGGTTTGCTTCTTGATTTTCTTTATATTATCATAATTTAAAGTGAATTTTAAAAAGTACACTATTACTCAGCAATCCTTATAATTATGCATTAGAATTTGTATCTTCATTACTATACATGGTATCGGTTTTAGTAATTTATCCTTTTAAAAAAATCAACAAAACAGAATAAAAGAAGATGTGATGGGTATATGAGAAAAAAAGGAAACCAGAAATGGCTTAGGTGTACTTTTCCTCCTGTTCACATTTGGGGCATGAGTAATCTTCCACCAAAGAAAGATACACTGTGGACCTGCTGAAATCCAACCCCACTTTAACATCACATCTGGTGGACTGAAGATTGAAACAGCGATTGTGGGCTCCTGCCCATGGCAATGTGCATCTACCCCTGTCTTTTCTCATTCCTAGTGAGAACAGATATTCTTCCTCCTTCCTTAGCAATACTAATTTATATCTTGAAGGAGAATAAACAACATGTTAATCTATGTGGGGGGTGAGTTCCCTGAACTCA